AAGAATCAACATTGGCGGATTTTGGTTCTTGACATCCTTTACGATCGGTTACGATGCCTAGAGTACGGAGACCTGTACGATTTCGTCAACTTAGTGAGTTTGATAGGGGCCGTATAGTGGGACTTTGGGAAGCTGGCAATTGCAGTTAGAGTGCAAAGAAGTGTAGACACTGTGGTTAGGTGTTGTCAGGCATGGCTTCGAGAAGGCCGTACGCAAAGAGCAAGGGGCACTGGACGCCGCCGTAGGACAACAGACCGTGAAGATCGCCGCCTAAGATTATTGGCTTTAAGGGACCGCTTCTCCACTACCAGGTCCATTGCAAATGAATGATTTGCAGAACAAGGAAGACCTATTGGCATGCGAAGTGTTTACCGACGAATGAGAAGTTTTGGCTTGTTTTCATACCGGCCACACTGGGTCCTCCCTTTAACTCGAGAACACCGACGTAATCGCCTTGAGTGGTGCAGACAACGGTCACTCTGGGATCAGGAATGGAACAGTATTGTCTTTAGTGACGAGTCTCGATTTTGTTTAGGCATGCACGATGGTCGTGCCAGGGTTAGAAGGCGACGTGGTGAAAGGAGGAATCCACAGTTTTTTGTTGAAAGACATGTTCATCACACTGTTGGAGTTATGGTTTGGGGTGCTATAGCTTATGGTTCCAGGTCACCTTTAATCTTCATCAGAGGTAACATGAACGCGCAGCGTTATATCCACGAAGTTCTAGAACCCCATCTTTTACCCTATTTTGACACCCTGGCAGATCCAACTTTCCAACAAGATAATGCCCGACCACATGTTGCAAGAGTTACAATAGACTTCTTTCAACATAATGATGTCACATTGTTACCATGGTCACCAAGATCTCCCGACTTATCCCCAATTGAGCATGTGTGGGATATGATGGGTAGGAGATTGCTCAATTTGCAACGTCCTCCTCAGACTCTAGAAGCACTTCGAGAGGAGTTGGTGGTTGCCTGGAATGAGATACCACAGGAGGACATGGCCACCTGATCAGAAGCATGCCTAGGCGCGTTGGAGAATGCGTAGCACATCAGGGTGCATCCACACATTATTAAAGGCCAAGGGCTTTAAAGCAGTGCAATCATTTGAAATTTTTATCATTTACTTATTATGCTTCATTAAGTACTTATACAAAATTTTATTAAAATAAAACCATTTAAAACTGGGTGTTCGGATTTATATGTCACTTAGTATATGTAATATTTATTATGTTCTTATATAAAACATTACGGCTGACTTCTTAAAGGTAATGTCGGCGTTTCTTTGTGACTGCAAGTACAGCGCTAACATGTCAAACTTTTCTTCATTTGAGTAGGAAACACCGGCCATTTTCAACAGGTTTTGACAATTTCGTTTATTATTATTATAAACACAATTTTTAATACCTTGAATCATTTGACATCAAAGTCAGAGCCTCCTTAGATGAAAAAATGCGTTACTTGTTAATTTTTTTTCTGACAAATAAATCATGGCCTCCTTAGAAAAAAAATATACATAAAATTGCGACTGATGATATTTCGATGATACTCCAATCTTTTATGCACTTGTGAGACATGTCTAGCTGGAAATTTTACGATCTCTCCAAAAATCGAAAAATTTAATATGTAGTCATAAGAAAAAAGGTTGTGGCAGGTTGCGGAAAACAAAAGACGATTGAGACACGTCAAACACGCCATCGTATTTGCCTTTGTCTGAATAATGTCACATTTTGACAGCTGTCAAATTAACCGGGGACACACTGTTTGGATCTTCTTAGACTGAAATACAGAGACGATAATTTCGCTGAAATCCTTGCAATTCCTAACAATAAAACCGTATGTGCGACAAGCACTCAGCGCAGCTTTTAAACGTCAACTGATTATGATCATGAACTTGGAAGAAGAATATTATAATTATTTTTCTCAACTTATGACGATGAGATCCTCCTGATCCATGATACCACGCACGCTCATGTTCAGTTATTTATCTCATTTAAAGATTATTTAATCAACATTCCCTATTGGACGTTTAATTAAAGTTTCCTTTAATTCCATTTACGCGCGGTGGCCTTAAATGTAGGTTCATCCACACGAAGTCCGGATTATAAAAAATTAATAACCTAGGCATTTTCCCACATCCCTGAATCAGGGCTAATCCCCACTATCATAACATACAGACCAAACTAGCGGGACGCAGGACGCTAGACGTGGTATTACTGGGTAATACTCGGCAGTTGAGGGTTAGGAGATGGTCCCATTGCTTTGCTTGAGCAAATAGCTTCGTAGCGCGTTTGATGATAGAGCTAGCAATTTACACTATATTAATGGGAAAATTGGGGTTGCTTGCTAACACAAATAACTTCAACGCGACAAGTAAATTAGATGCGCTTAATCCCGTTAGATCGTCTCACTTTTGAAGAGATTTATTAACGTGTCTATTGTAAAGTAGGTCAAGAAATGCAATAATCAAAGTAATGCAGTAGCAACATCTTTAATAATAATATTTATTCAAAACTGTTTACAAACAATATTCGAATAATTGCGAACGATCCATAGAAAGGACTACCAGTTCCTTGTGTATGGGTCATGTCACAATTCACATCAAATTTATTGAGGATGAAGCTTAGCCTGAAGCTGCTATTCTTACAGAATTGGTTAGGAAAACGTAATATATCGATCTCAGTTTTTAAAGCGCAAGAATAATAAACAGAGTGTTTGAGAAATAATACTCGTAACTTTGAGAGCTGATTCCTTGCATTATTCTAAGCAAAAAAGTTCATTATATACTAAGTGACATATAAATCCGAACACCCAGTTTAAATGGTTTTGTTTTAATAAATTTTGTATAAGTACTTAATGGAGCATAATAAGTAAATGATAAAAATTTCAAATGATTGCACTGCTTTAAAGCCCTTTGACCTTTAATAATGTGTGGATGCCCCTGATGTGCTACGCATTCTCCAACGCGCCTAGGCTACTTCTGATCAGGTGGTCAATGTCCTCCTGTGGTATCTCATTCCAGGCAACCACCAACTCCTCTCGAAGTGCTTCTAGAGTCTGAGGAGGACGTTGCAAATTGAGCAATCTCCTACCCATCATATCCCACACGTGCTCAATTGGGGATAAGTTGGGAGATCTTGGCGGCCATGGTAACAATGTGACATCATTATGTTGAAAGAAGTCTATTGTGACTCTTGCAACATGTGGTCGGGCATTATCTTATTGGAAAGTTGGATCTGCCAGGGTGTCAAGATAGGGTAAAAGATGGGGTTCTAGAACTTCGTGGATATAACGCTGCGCGTTCATGTTACCTCTGATGAAGATTAAAGGTGACCTAGAACCATAAGCTACAGCACCCCAAACCATAACTCCAACAGTGTGATGAACATGTCTTTCAACAAAAAACTGTGGATTCCTCCTTTCACCACGTCGCCTTTTAACCCTGGCACGACCATCGTGCATGCCTAAACAAAATCTAGACTCGTCACTGAAGACAATACTGTTACATTCCTGATCCCAGAGTGACCGTTGTCTGCACCACTCAAGGCGATTACGTCGGTATTCTCGAGTTAAAGGGAGGACCCAGTGTGGCCGGTATGAAAACAAGCCAAAACTTCTCATTCGTCGGTAAACACTTCGCATGCCAATAGGTCTCCGTGTTCTGCAAACCATTCATTTGCAATGGACCTGGTAGTGGAGAAACGGTCCCTTAAAGCCAATAATCTTAGGCGGCGATCTACACGATCTGTTGTTCTACGGCGGCGTCCAGTGCCCCCTGCTCTTTGCGTACGGCCTTCTCGAAGCCATGCCTGACAAACACCTAACCACAGTGTCTACACTTCTTTGCACTCTAAATGCAATTGCCCGAAAAGAAAGTCCAGCTTCCGAAGTCCCCACTATACGGCCCCTATTAAACTCACTAAGTTGACGAAATCCTACAGGTCTCCGTACTCTAGGCATCGTAACCGATCGTAAAGGATGTCAAGAACCAAAATCCGCCAACGTTGATTCTTTACTGCGGCTGAAATATTCATTTTTAGAGCGTTAGTGAATTAAAAAAAAAGCAGTATAAAAACCGGAATGTCCAACTGATAAGGCTGAAAATTTTTTCACTTGTTATTTACAGTAAGATAAATACATTCACCAACTTTTATTAAAATAAAACCATTTAAACTGGGTGTTCGGATTTATATGTCACTTAGTATATAATACCAACATTACAGAAAGTAAAAGAACCAACCAATAGAAACAAACACTTCAATATATAGAATAGTGTATACCTAATATTGACCATACCAATTTTGAAATAAACAGTGTTATTTTAGTCTTTTTTAATCGATTCTGTATCTTTTCACACGTTCATCACTGAAAACGACACAGTATAAGACTTTCACCAAAAATATCATCTTTGAGCCATCATTTTAGAGACCGTACAACATTAGCGACATAATTCTAGAAGCCTTATGAAATAAATGAGGGTAATTGTTTTCCTATAAAGACTGTTATGAATGTTCCAGTGGCGTCCCTTGGGGTCTTGTGTCTCAGTATGAAAGCTGTCTAGGAAATTCGTAAAGCAACTTGTCAGTCTAGCATTGAAGTTTCCTTTCACTTCCCAAGGATGGAGTATTGAAATAGAATTAAATTCATAGACCAAACTGATCAAGTTTGACAATGACACAAGACACGATTCACGCGTCATCTGTCAAAAACAGTGTTGCCAAAAAGATACTAGCAAAACATCACCCATTAGAAACGTTTTCGATCTCCTTCTGCTATTTGAGCTCACCGAAGCGGTGCTTCAGTGAGCGTTGACGTGATAACTACCAGTACGGCAGGAAAAGGTTGTCTATGGACGCATGTGTCTGTTTGACTGACTTGATCGGTTTTATTTTTCTATTGGACAGAGAGGCTAACTTGTGTGCTTTTTCCAGAAAAATGCAGTCTCGAACCGTGCTATCCCAAGACTCGAACGAGAGCCTGCTGGAGATTCCAATCCAGGAATTGCAACGGAGGCACTCCGAAACGCGTCTGGGCAGCAGTGCGGGTACCGATGGTCTGTCTGTGGGGGGCTTCGGGGGCGGCTTGGCACCCCCTAGGAGCCCCGAGCTACGCAGGCACTCTGATGTGTCGCCTTCATCACTCAAGGAACTCGAAAGGTAAGCTACAAAGTTGCATATCTATTTCATAGGTGATAGTAACCAGTTGCATCTACAAGCTTTGAGCTTAGATCGTAAATGCTATATTGTACTTTTGGTCCCACGAGGGTAAAATCTACAGACAACTGAAAGACACAGCTAGTAATTTGGGTTAAGGAGAAGCCTGATCTGCGGGCGAACATTATTCATCACTCACTAAACACGTGGACAGGGCGGCCGAAAAGCCTAAAAAGTAGGATGAAAATTTTACATAGCCTCGTAACATATGTATGGAAATAGTTCATTATGACTTATGGGGTGTTATCGTGGAGTCACTCAGTCCAGAGGTTCAGGGTCATCTCGAACTCACAGAATTTTTTGTAAGTAAATGTTATTATGCTGACTCTGAGTTTGTTATTCTATAATTTATTGTTTTATACATATTATTGAACCTGTAATAATTAATTTTAACCTTTCGGACGATGACTCAAGTACTTCCAGCGGAAAAAGGAGAGTTGTGCACTTCTTTCTATAAAAATAATCATTTATTTTCTTAGATTCTTTCAAGACCATTGAGGCAAATACGGACCTATAAAAATAATCATTTATTTTTAGATTCTTTCAAGACCATTGAGGCAAATACGGAGGTATAGCTTCATTATGCTCTTATTCCGCTTTTGACACTGCATTTAATATAACCCAATACATATTATACGAATATACATATAGACGTGTACAGAATGCAGCTAGCAATCCTTTAGTTCGGTGACAGCTGCTAGACAGTAGCCAGAAGCGAATCGCCATCTGAATCGATATAATATTCCCTGGATGGCCACATGAATGGGGATTGGATTCATATAAACTGGCTTATACAGCGGCATATATCTTATATGTTGCACGCGATGTTCAGATTATTCTGGGTATGCTGGATAATATCCCTAGGAATTGTAATAATTGTTGCTGGGATATGGACATACCTACACATAAAGTAGGTATATCGATTCGTTTGTCAATGTTCGAAGCAACCAACTGTTTACATTTGAGTATCATAAAACCAACTTGATTACGTTTTCTGCCAGAGAATGATGATTAGAAACGTAAGTACTTATATTTTTGAGATTCTCAATAGAAATGCGATTTGTCTTGAAGGTTTACGTTGCGGCAGTATTGGAAAAGCAACGCCGTCATATACACTGCCGTTCGACAGTTTCTGGAAACGGACAAAAGAAATGGAAGCAGGGTCATACAGATGAATAATGTTTCAAAATATACTAAGTGACATATAAATCCGAACACCCAGTTTAAATGGTTTTATTTTAATAAAAGTTGGTGAATGTATTTATCTTACTGTGAATAACAAGTGAAAAAATTTCAGCCTTATCAGTTGGACATTCCGGTTTTTATACTGTTTTTTTTTAATTCACTAACGCTCTAAAAATGAATATTTCAGCCGCAGTAAAGAATCAACGTTGGCGGATTTTGGTTCTTGACATCCTTTACGATCGGTTACGATGCCTAGAGTACGGAGACCTGTACGATTTCGTCAACTTAGTGAGTTTGATAGGGGCCGTATAGTGGGACTTCGGGAAGCTGGACTTTCTTTTCGGGCAATTGCAGTTAGAGTGCAAAGAAGTGTAGACACTGTGGTTAGGTGTTGTCAGGCATGGCTTCGAGAAGGCCGTACGCAAAGAGCAAGGGGCACTGGACGCCGCCGTAGAACAACAGACCGTGAAGATCGCCGCCTAAGATTATTGGCCTTAAGGGACCGTTTCTCCACTACCAGGTCCATTGCAAATGAATGGTTTGCAGAACACGGAAGACCTATTGGCATGCGAAGTGTTTACCGACGAATGGAAGTTTTGGCTTGTTTTCATACCGGCCACACTGGGTCCTCCCTTTAACTCGAGAACACCGACGTAATCGCCTTGAGTGGTGCAGACAACGGTCACTCTGGGATCAGGAATGGAACAGTATTGTCTTTAGTGACGAGTCTCGATTTTGTTTAGGCATGCACGATGGTCGTGCCAGGGTTAGAAGGCGACGTGGTGAAAGGAGGAATCCACAGTTTTTTGTTGAAAGACATGTTCATCACACTGTTGGAGTTATGGTTTGGGGTGCTATAGCTTATGGTTCCAGGTCACCTTTAATCTTCATCAGAGGTAACATGAACGCGCAGCGTTATATCCACGAAGTTCTAGAACCCCATCTTTTACCCATCTTGACACCCTGGCAGATCCAACTTTCCAACAAGATAATGCCCGACCACATGTTGCAAGAGTCACAATAGACTTCTTTCAACATAATGATGTCACATTGTTACCATGGCCACCAAGATCTCCCGACTTATCCCCAATTGAGCACGTGTGGGATATGATGGGTAGGAGATTGCTCAATTTGCAACGTCCTCCTCAGACTCTAGAAGCACTTCGAGAGGAGTTGGTGGTTGCCTGGAATGAGATACCACAGGAGGACATTGACCACCTGATCAGAAGCATGCCTAGGCGCGTTGGAGAATGCGTAGCACATCAGGGTGCATCCACACATTATTAAAGGTCAAAGGGCTTTAAAGCAGTGCAATCATTTTGAAATTTTTATCATTTACTTATTATGCTTCATTAAGTACTTATACAAAATTTTATTAAAATAAAACCATTTAAACTGGGTGTTCGGATTTATATGTCACTTAGTATATTCATTATCTAGTAGGTCATATGATCGATCACCAATAAATACTTTTTGATCTCCTGAAATCTTTGTACGAACCTGGTTTAGAAAAAATGCATGGTTTTTGGGATGTCCTGGTATATAATAGACATGTGCCATTTTGGAAATATGCATAAAAGCCATCTACTATCTGTCGGTTCCCAAATCCCAACCAGTAAAGAGTATATTTGCTATTGTGTCAATCTAGAACGGCAAAGCTGTCATTTGGGATCGACCCGTGTTAACTTTGGTTGCCACTGTGAGCAAGGTACAGTTTCGATCAGAATAATGATTATTTATTAAACATATTTTTTGGATACTCATCAGCATGGTCTAGGCTTGGTCTCTCGTTTCTAGGACAACGAACGGAAGCATAGCAACTATACAGTATCAAGCGTGAGATCTATCTAGATAACCGCCATTTACTCTGTTTATCTAATATTATTTATGCTATGAGCGCATAAGGTTTCTTTCAGAAATATGAATCCAATCTCATCCTTGTAATCATATCGGTATTTGTGAAGCTTTCATATATAAACTGATATAGTCCTTGAAAAATGACAGCGAAGTCCCCATTAGATCAGGACGACGACGCCGCTTTGTCAAATAAAGTTATTGCGTATGAGTTTGTGCTTTTATGAAATCATCGATCCTCCTTTCTGCTGTCCAATAAATAAAAGCTCACATGAAAGAAACAAGATTTAAAAGCTTAAAAGCTCTATCTCCAGCCTACAAAGGCCTAGTCCGAGCGTGAGCTCCATTTTCCAATGGAAACAGATGTGCATTCCCGTGTTTTTTTACTTTTTTTCTATGATAAAGACCATTGCTGTTACGAGTATATACATGAGAGACACATACATTAGTCACACATTTCACAGAACTGCTATAGAATAACGTTTTGTATTCTGTAGAAACTGACAGTGGTGTAATGTAGAAAATCAATATAATTTCATTAAAAATCGAAAAGGTCAACTTGCGTAGTAGCTAGTCGCTAGCTCACACCACGCGCACTCGCCGTGACTGAATCGTGATCGTGTGAACCGTCCACGACTCTGGACTAGTTGGCTTTCCACCTGCCACTCAACAAAAGGCACGACAGGGAAATCCCAAATGTGCCACGCTATCGTCTTTTGCTCATTGAGAAAGTGTCTATCGTATAAACAGTGAAGACCTTGGTTGTGATATGATGATTCTGTTTCACATAGCGCGTTTTAAAATAGTCTATAAAATGCTTGATCCAGGTCTCACAAAAAAAAAGGACGGAAATGTAGTCATATCAGTTGACAAATCAGTACAGGATACTACATCTTGCCAGGTATAGCTTATAATTGTGATATATGTAGATTACTAGTTTCCTTCATTGATGGAAGTGAAATAAGTGTTCTTATTTATTTCAGTTGAAATCTGGAAAGCCATCATCTGATCAGTCATCGAATAAACCAATGAAACCTCTTGGCAGTCCGTATGGCTCTACAGCTGATGTCGGTCCCCCACAGGTCAGCGATCCAGACGAGGGTCCCGAGTATCACGACAACGCAGCTATGATGAAGAGGTAATCATTGATTTTCATTTCTAAATATTTAATAAATTATTTACCTATTAGTACACGGCACTCTTCCGTCATATCAAGACTCTCCAGTATGAATTGGTCAGGGAATGCAAATTGATAGGTGTGTTCATTCGATATAACTCCATTCCAGGTGAAAGCAGCCAAAGGAATCTCCCCCGGTGGCTCTCCAGCGACAGGTCCCGATGGCTCCGCCGCTGGCCTGGGACTGCCTGCCCCTATGCCGAGACGCGCCTCCGCCTATGACGTGTTCGCTGGCGCACCGGGCGGCCTCCCAACCGTAGCAGGCCCGCCCATGGGTAGAAGGGCATCGTTCCGCGTTGCGCCACCCACTCTCGGTCGAGCAACAGAGCCCGACCACCGAAAACGATGTGGGGCGGGCTCTCATGCCGATCATCACAGGCGCAGGGTTGGGGGGACCTGTACCGGAGATCGGGAAAGGAGGATGTCGTGCAGGAGGGCATCACATATGTAAGAGTCAATGTTTCCATGTTTCTTCTTTCTCTCTTTCTTTCTCTGTCATTTCTTCATTTCTTCATTTCTTCATTTCTTCATTTTCATTTCTTCATTTCTTCATTGCTTCATTTTTCATTTCTTCATTTCGTCATTTCTTCATTTCTTCATTTCTCGTCATTTCTTTCTTTCTTTTCTTCATTTCTTCATTTCGTCCTTCTTTCTTTTTCTGCATTTCTTCGTTCTTCATTTCTTCTTTCTTCATTTCTCTTCTTTCTTCTTCTGTCATTTCGTTTCATTTCTCTTCTTTCTTCATTTTTCATTTTTCATTTCTTTCATTTTCTTCATTTCTTCATTTCTTCATTTCTTCATTTCTTTCTTCATTTCGTTCTTCATTTCTTCATTCTTTTTCATTCTCATTTCTTCTTCATTCTCTTCATTTCTTCATTTCTTTCTTTCTTCATTTCTTTCTTTCTTTCTTTCTTTTCATTTTTTTTTTCTTTTTTTCTTTTCTTCATTTCTTCATTCTTCTTTCTTCTTTCATTTCTTCTTTTTTTCTCATTCTTCATTTCTTCTTCATTTCTTCTTCTTTCTTCTTCATTTCTTCATTTCTTCATTTCTTTCTTCATTTCTTCATTTCTTCATTTCTTCATTTCTTCATTTCTTCTCATTTCTTCATTTCTTCTTTCTCTTCATTTTTCATTTCTTTCTTCTTCATTTCTTCATTTCTTCATTTCTTCATTTCTTCATTTCTCATTCTTCATTTCTTTCTTCATTTCTTCATTCTTCATTTCTCATTTCTTCATTTCTTCATTTCTTCATTCTTCTTTCTTCATTTCTCTTCATTTCTTCATTTCTTCATTTCTTTCTTATTTCTTCATTTCTTCATTTCTCATTCTTTCTTCATTTCTTCATTTCTTCATTTCTTCATTTCTTCATTCTTCATTTCTTCATTTTCTTCATTTCTTCATTTCTTCATTTCTTCATTTCTTTCTTCATTTCTTCATTTTTCATTTCTTCATTTCTTCATTTCTCATTCTTCATTTCTTCATTTCTTCATCTTCATTCTCTTTCATTTCTTCATTTCTTCATTTCTTCATTTCTTCATTTCTCATTTCTTTCTTCATTTTCTTCATTTCTTCATTTCTTCATTTCTCATTTCTTCATTTCTTCATTTCTCATTTCTTCATTTCTTCATTTCTTCTTCATTTCTTCATTTCTTTTCTTCTTCTTTCTTCATTTCTTCATTTCTTCATTTCTTCATTTCTTCATTTCCATTTTCATTTCTTCATTTCTTCATTTTCTTCATTTCTTCATTTCTTCATTTCTTTCATTTCTTCATTTCTTCATTCTTTCTTCATTTCTTCATTTCTTCATTTCTTATTTCTTCATTTCTTCCTTTCTTTTCTTCATTTCTTCATTTCTTTTCATTTCTTCATTTCTTCATTTCTTCATTTCTTCTTCATTTCTTCATTTCTCTTCATTTCTTCTTTCTTTCATTTCTTCATTTCTTCATTCTTCATTTCTTCATTTCTTTCATTTCTTCTCTTCATTTCTTCATCTCATTTCTCATTTCTTTTCTTCTTCATTTCTTCATTCTTCATTTCTTCATTTCTTCATTTCTTCATTTCTTCATTTCTTCATTTTCATTTTCTTCATTTCTTTCATTTCTTCATTCTATTTCTTCATTTCTTTCTTTCTCATTCTTCATT